GGGGGGGGGGGGGGGACAGGAAGAGGGCACCTAGCCAGGAACCTCTGGCTTGATTCCTGGAGTTAATCCAAACAAGACCCCTCCTTTTCTCACCCTCCTCCCAGCTTCCTCCTTTATCCCCTGGCTCCCCAGCCCCCATCAAGAGGAACTTGGAAGAGCTTGGCTTTCAACACGGCAATGGCAGGAAGCGGTTCTGGTTACCACATCCCCTTCCCCACTTCCCTCAGCCCCTCCTTCCAATACCACAAGTTTAGCCAAGGCCCTGGGAGAGGAGGAGGCAGAGAGCAGGATATTCTTCCAGGTGGGCACCCCTTGACCCTGACCAGGGTCATAGCTTGGACTCCAAGCCCCTCCTTCAGGTGGAGACCCCGTAAGATGGGGAGGGGGCTGACCCCGGAGCCCTGAGTCACCAGCTGGATGACACAGCCCTGCGGGCTGCCCTTAGTAACACCAGGCCCCCAGACTGGGGTCAGCCTCACGAGGGGAGGAACCTCTCCCCTGATTTAGGTTGGGGAATTCCAACCCTGTTCCTCCCGAACCTGCCAGAGAAGGGAGGGGCGGCCAGGCCTGAGATGCCCTGGCAGGAAATGAGAAAGACATTTCTGTCTGGGATGAAGCAGAAAGGTGTGGGTATACTGTAAGACACTGCCCCAGGGATAGAGCACCACCCAAGCACCCGCCCCCACCCACACTAGCCCCGGGTAGTGGCAATCACCAGGTCGATTCTCAGAGGCCTTAATAATAATCTCATGCCTCCCCCTTCTCTCTCTTTAGCTCCTCCAAAAGGAAGCCATACAGTGTAGCCCTCAGAATCAGACCTCCTGGGTTCAAATTCCAGCTCCCACTACATCTGGCTGTGTGACCTTAGGCAAGTCACTTTGCCTGTCTGTGCCTCCATGGCCTCATCTGTAAAATGAGGGAGGACAGTCCTCACCCAAAAGGTTGTGGTGGGGATCAAGTGGTAGTGTACACTGCGAGTTTTTAGCACACGGTAGGTACACACACCAAAAGTAACGTTAGCCGTCATGATTCTGCTATTTTAATGCCCTCTCTGCTAAGAATTAGGATTCACAAACCTCTTTCACTGGTGAGGAACCGGTGAGGCACAGGGAGTTGCCAGGTCCACACAACCAGCCAGGAGCAGGCCTGGGATTCGACCCAGACCTGGCACCAGCACCCTGTTCTTTCCACCACATTCGGCATGTGCTAACCACCTCGGTGGGCATCCGTTTCCGCAGTCCATGCACAATCCACTTAACTCTCTCTCCAGCGCTGTCACGTACCTTATTACCTCTGATTTGTATCCAATGGCAGAACTTCTTACCATTTTATTTGAGTCTGAGCTTTCACAGGAGGCAGAGACTGTGGCCCATTTTCAAGGTGGCAGACGCGAGGCCCAGAGAAGTGCTTCAGGTTGCTCATGGTCACACAGCCGGTGAGTGACAGAGCTCCTGCCCAGCCCTTCTGACTCCAAATCCCGTGCTAAGATCAGGTCACTGGATCTGACAAGAAGGAAGTCAGTGGGGGAAGCAGCCTGGGGGGGGGGGGGGGGGGTCCCCAGAAGTCAAGCTGGAGGGATCAACAGAGAGAATGGGTGTGGGATATTTGGCTGGGTTCTGTAGGGAGAAAAATGGGGGGATAAAAAGGAAAATAAAATATTAAGCAGGGCTGGACAGGGCAGAGAACAGTCTAAGGGAGGTTCCGTTACAGTGAGAGGTTTGTGTCTATAAGAGGGGATGTGCCAGTTGACCGGGAAAGAGACGGCCTGGGACCAGTTCCCTTGACATTGTATCACCCACTGCTATGCATGGGTTCCCAGCAAAGCAGGTGCAGCCCCAAAATACACATTTAAAAGACTCTTTGTCTGTTGGGTTGGTATTTTAAATTAAGACTGT